GTGGGGCAGCAGAGAACTGATTCAGCAGGGGCAGTGGGCGAGGGCACGGGGTGGCAGTTGGGAGAGCGGCAGGGGAGCATGGTGGCAGGGCAGGCATGGTGGGCAGGGAGGCAGGTGGGCGTGGAGCCAGGGTGGCTAGGTCGGGACTGCGCATTCGGTGGGGCAGTGGAGAGGCAGGTGTCACAGGCCTGATCCCAGCCTGAGTTGCATTTGTGCCCCCCCCCAGCTCTAAAGGCGGTGCAGGGGCACCTGCCCTGTCGCAGAACAGGGCACCGAGGTCCGGTCTTCCTGAACGCAGGCAGGCACTGAACACGCGTGTCGGCTTCCACAGCCTGGAACCCGGAGTTAGCAGGGGTTCCACCGAAGCAGACCCTGTGTTTCTTTTCTGTGCTAGAGGGAGGAGCTGGTTCTGCTTCCTGAGTGCCATCGGGGGGAGTCCGCTGTGGCCTGAAGGTCCTGTGTCCTCTCCGTCCCTGGCCCAGGACTTGTCCCTTTGCCCCTTCTCTGAGCTCCCAGCTCCAGTGTTTTCTGCTGGCTTGCTGGCCAGGGTGCCCACTTCTCCCCTGCTCTCTGCTGTGCTGGGGGCTTGTGAGACGGGACAGTTGATTTTGCCTGTGTCTGGCAGGAGGGGTGGGGTATGGTTTCCTGCCTGACCCCCACGTCCTCAGGCAGTGTTCTTACTCAGCTGAGCCTCCTACCTGGGGGGCATTTGAAATGTGGCTGTTCTTTCTCGTGACTCATTTCGCAAGCACACAGCTCAAGGCTAGGGTTAGTCTTCATCATTTCCTGGTGAGCCTGCGAGTCTGCACAGCCTCCCTGTCTGAATCGTGTTCGCTTTGCGGCCTTGGAGGGTCAAGGAAGGGAGCAGATTCCCAGACTAACTCTGCCTGTGCGTTTCTAAATAGGTCGTTCTTTTAAGAACCGGGACATCTGTGTTACGCTGGTCTGAGCATGTCTTGAGAGTAGACGGGCTCGAACAGTTCTTCTGCACCCTGCTGAGGGGCGGGGCCGTGAGATGCCCCACAGTTCCCCCTTTCACGGGGGCGGCTACGGCACAAAGCACACGTGAGGCGCTGAGCGCTCGTGACGCGGCCACGAGTAAGCGGCTGTGGTTTTTGCCAGTGTTCCTGTGGGCCAGAGCACAGCAGCAGGTGGAAAACAGGTGTTGTGTACCTGGGGGAACCGAGTGGGTACAAGGCTCTGACGCCCCCAGGGAGCCATCAGGAGGGGAAGAGGCCGAGGTCAGAGGGCTTGAGGGCCGGGGAGCAGATCGGGTCCCAGCTCACCTTGTTTGTCATCTAACAAGGTCACGGGCATTTTCCAGAATCAACTAGCAAAAATGCAACTGCAACCACTCGCACGTGTGGAAGAGGAGCAAGCGCGTTTGGTCTGAGCTGGGGCAGGAAGAGGCGCGTGGGGAGGATGGGGAGCGCCGAGGCAGCGGCCGGGTGCGGTGACCCCAGGAGCGTCCCTGCAGCGGGAAGGAGAGGACGCGGGGCTGCTCCTGCTGCGAGTGGAATTAGCAGGTGGGAGTGCAGGGAAGACACCATACACGAAGCAAGAAAAGAAAAGCAATTTCTGCAAAGCCCTTCAAGACCAGCCCCTTCTTGGCAGGACTGTTGCTGGACCCCGGGGCCTTTCCCTGTCGCCTTGGAAGGGGCAGCAGCTCCCCTCCAGGTGCTTTAAGTTAATAATATATGAGGCCAAGCGCGGTGGCTCACGCCTGTAATCCTAGCACTCTGGGAGGCCGAGGCGGGCGGATTGCTCCAGGTCAGGAGTTCGAAACCAGCCTGAGCAAGAGCAAGACCCCGTCTCTACTATAAATAGAAAGAAATTAATTGGCCAACTAATATATACAGAAAAAATAGCCGGGCATGGTGGTGCATGCGTGTTGTCCCAGCTACTCGGGAGGCTGAGGCAGGAGGATCGCTTGAGCCCAGGAGTCTGAGGTTGCTGTGAGCTAGGCTGACGCCATGGCACTCACTCTAGCCTGGGCAACAAAGCGAGACTCTGTTTCAAAAAAAGAAAAAAGAATCATGTATGGTCATTGTGTGAGTGAATTACTGTCATCAGCAACCATGCCCTACTCAGAACTAGATACACTATCTTCCCCCCTGTGCCTCAGCAAATGACATCAACCATCCACCTATTCCAGGTAGAAACCTCAGCATGAACTTGGAACTTTTTTTATTTCACTTCAATCATGCAAAGTATGAATTATGTGCATTTTCTTTTTCCATTAATGACTTAGTTCAGAGCCTCAGACTGTCCTGTGTGGACAGTGCATTGACTCCCGCCCAGTCCTGTGGCACTGGGTCTGTGGCTCTCACTGTAATCAGCCGGGGCAGTCTGTGGCCGGGGCTCTGGCCTGCTGTGGCGCCAGGGCCTGCCAGGACCCCACCTGCTGCTCAGCGGCACCTCCAGCCTCTGCCCTGCCGTCCCTGAGGAGTCTGGTCAACACTTCTCTGTTGCCTGCATTCTCGTGCTGTATGTGTGGCCTGGAATGCTCTTGGACTCCCCTCACTTAGCAAATTCCCATGAATACTTCAACACCCAGGGCCATGGTCACCCATTCAGAATGTTCTACAGAGTCTTAGCTCTGCCTTTGTGTTCCCAGGAACTGGCGCTGTTCCTCTCTTTCAGCTCTTATGTTGCAGTGTAGGTGAGGGCTGGGCGGCACAGGTGAGGGCTATACACAGCAGGTGAGAGCTATAGGGAGCAGGTGAGGGCTGTACACAACAGGTGAGGGCTGTACACAGCAGGTGAGGGCTGTACACAATAGGTGAAGGCTGTACACAACAGGTGAGGGCTGTACACAGCAGATGAGGGTATACGCAGCAGGTGAGGGCTATATGGAGCAGGTGAGGGCTATACACAGCAGGTGAGGGCTATACACAGCAGGTGAGGGCTGTACACAACAGGTGAAGACTACACAACAGGTGAGGGCTGTACACAACAGGTGAAGACTGTACACAACAGGTGAGGGCTGTACACAGCAGATGAGGGCATACGCAGCAGGTGAGGGCTATATGGAGCAGGTGAGGGCT